AGAATAAAAACTTTTCTAAGAAGCACTATGAATTTGGAAAGACTAAATGCGCTTGCAGTGCTTTCAATGGAGAAAAATTTCCTCAGTTGTCATCCAGAGATCAAGGAGAAAATTATTGATCTTTTTGCGCAAATTAAAACAAGAAGAATGGATTTCATTTTTAAATGAATAGATTAAGCTTGAACTGTAACAATTTAGGTTAAAGTAAGTAAAAAATGTTTGAGTTTGTTCTTTTAGGATTTTATCAAGCTTCTGAATAAATTTTCTTTTTATACATGTTTGTTTCCTTTTATACAATTTTAAAACAAAAGCTATAAATTTAGTGGAGCAGCACCCCCACTAACTCTAGTTACGAGCCGCCACTGCATTTAAGAGGATATTCTGCAAATATAAAAACTTATCTGAATGACCAGTTCCAAGTAAGTAGTTTTATCAAATCTGGAGTGGAAACAAAGAGTATATTAGAACAAATGACTAATGAGATTAATAAGTTTTTATCTAGTGATTTTATTATTCTTTCCTCTGGATCTAATGACATAGGCAGAGTTAAATTAAGTGAGGTTTTTAGCGATTTAATTGATTTTATCAAGAGAACTACTCACACAAAGATTGTTTTATTAACAATTCCTACTAGACATGACTTAGAAGGTGCTAACAGCAGTATTAATAATGAGATTACCAAATATAATAGAAGATTAATTAAATTGGGTAAACTGTTCTCTCATCTTAGTGTTCTTGAAATAGATGAAAATAGGCATTATTATGCTAAACATGGGCTTCACTTGAATGGCCGAGGAAAAAAGATGGTTTCTCTTAATCTGGCTATCTTATTTTTCCCTTATAAAAAAGACAAGTAATTGGAGCAGCAATATTATACCAGTTGGCTAGTATGAGCTTCAGGGACAGTTAATTAGTCATTCTTCTACTGCCAGTCATACTTTACCACAGAATACTGATGAAGGTAACAAGAGTAAAGGTATTAGGAAAAAGCCGGTAACAAAAACAGATAATTATTTATGGGAAAGTTAAACCCAACTAGTATTTTTAGTAACCAAGATTACTGTAATTTATCACACTTAAGTAGATTGAATAGCAAAAGTGGTAATTCATGTGTCTCAAAAATATTTTTAAATATCTACCATCAGAATATCTTGTTTGAAATCTAAAATTAATGAACTACTAAGTTTCTTATACCCTGAGCTACCACATATCATTTGTATCAGTGAGCACCATCTAAAATATTCCGAAATTTACAACACTTTAATGGAAAATTATGTGGTTGGGGCTAGTTTTTGTAGAAATAATGCTATGAAAGGTGGAACATGTATATTTGTTCTCGACTAGATAAAATTTGTTGCTGTAAATCTTGATAAATATTGTGTAGAATTTGATATAGAACTTTGTGCAGTAAAAATTCGGCATGAACCATTCTATGTTTATATTTTATCTGTGTACAGAGCCCCCTCCGGTAATTTTAGTAATTTTATACTCAAAATGGATGAGGTGCTCAAATCATTAGACACATCAAATACTGAATTCATTATATGTGGCGATTTCAATATTGATTACCTCACTGATAATCAATCGTAAAAAGAATCAACTCAATTCCTTATTAAACTCTTGCAATCTCTTTAGCACTGTTAACTTCCCTACTAGAATAACCAATACTTCTAAATCAACTATCAATAATATATTTATTGATTACTCCAGAATGGGAAGATTTAAATTATCACCTATGTATAATGGTATGTCTGATCATGATGCGCAATTAATATTGATCCATGATATTACTATGCCCCCTTATGTTAAGTGTTTATGAATGATAAGAAAAATTGACAAATATTCCTTGTTAAATTTTAATTATAATCTTAGTACTGAACTTTGGAATGAAGTATTTGATAATAATGAAGTGAACGCTGTTTTCAACGCGTTCTTAAACATTTTCTTAAGACACTTTTGTTATAGTTTTCCCAAATGTCTCACTAGACCCCATACTAATACTAAAGTACGGATATCATCTAGTATAAAAACTAAATGCAGCATAAAAAGACATTTGTATTTAAGCTGTAAGGAGAGTAATAACCCTAATATACAAAGGTACTATAAGCTATTCTGTAAAGATTTATTTAGAAATATTATGGAAGCCAAACGTTCATATTATGATAAACTAATTATAAACTCCAATAATAGAACTAAAACCACCTGGAATATTGTTAAATCATTGACCGGGAGGAAACCCTATCATGAAAGTATATCGAACTTGAGTGCTCCCGATAGATCATATATCAATACTAAAATGATTGCCGAATCCTTCAATAAATATTTTTTATCAATAGCAGAGACCATTACCAAAAGTACACTAAAAAATTGTGATATATTTGACATATGTAATAAGGCTAATGAATATTTAACTGATATATTTACAACCACTTTTCCTCTGATCAACTATAGTTATGTTACAACAAATGAAATTGAAAAAATTATAGACAAATTGAAAATGAACAATTCTACTGGGTATGATGAGATCCCTATCAAAGTATTAACAAGTTGTAAACACTTTATTACCTCATCCTTAACATACATAATAAATAGATCGTTAGCTACCGGTATGTTTCCTGATTTTCTCCGAGATAAAACCTATATATATAAATATGGTGATAAAAATCTTATAAGTAATTATAGGCCTATAACCTTATTGACTTCCTTTTCAAAGATATTTGAGAGAGTGGTGTTTGTAAGACTTTGTCATCATTTGACTATCAACAAGGTTTTAGCCAATGAACAGTTTGGATTTCGAATGAAATTTTCCACTGAAAAGGCCATTAATAAATTGCTTGACCTGACCTTAACTGCCCTAAATGCTGGCCATAATGTGGGTGGAATATTTTGTGATTTGAAAAAGGCCTTTGATTGTGTCTATCACAAGATTTTATTATCCAAGTTGGAATTCTATGGTATTACGGGTCTGATGCATAAATGGATAGCATCTTAACTTAAAGGAAGGTTTCAGAGAATTAAATTACAAGGTAATGATAGTAACCTAAATACCTATTCAAATTTGGGGCTTAATATTCCATGGTGTCCCGCAGGGATCCATTTTGGGTCCCATTATTCTTGATCTTTGATTTGCCTCTAGTATTAAATAGGATTTCCTATCCTATCCTCTTTGCTGATGATACTAGTGTGATTATATCCAATTTATTATGCCTATTACAAAGTGAATAAAGACTGAAGTGTTGTAAACTTGTATGTCACACTGGGCTGAAAATTATCCACTTTGTAATTAATAGTGTGACGGACCAGAATGAGACAAATCATTTGCCTGTTTTCACTTTAATATTCGATATGGCATTTTTTGGGGTAACTCTTCGTACGCCATCAATGTCTTTCGTATGTAAAAGAGGGTGGTGAGACTAATAACTGGTGCTGGTAATAGAAACTCATGTAAAACGATATTCACTACTCTAAAAATTCTTACTCTTTCATCTTTGTAAATTTATTCACTACTATCTTTTGTGGTCGATAGCATGGATCAATATTATTTTGTATCTGATATACATAATAGAGACACTAGACAGGTACTCACACATAAGGCTGACAACCTTGCCGCCATCTGTGAGCTGACTGTCTAGAGAAAATGTGGGGGTCATGACATCTCACAACCCTATGGGCCTTCACAGCCCATGACAGGGATAGTTTAACCTTNAGTTTAACCTTTTTTTTCTTAGCTTTAGGTTCTGAAGATACCAAGTATGCAACTAGAATGATGGTCTTATAAATCAATGAAATTTAATTAAAATATTAGCCATTCTTGAGAACTTTGATCCAATGTTTTTAAGGACCCATCTTGAAGTGCCCTATTTTTGGAACTGTAGTGTTCATATTCCTGGTCTAGAAAACAGAGATTAATGGCTGTGGGGAACTGTTGTGCTGACCACATGACACTCTTTATCCACAAAAGTTGGCACTAACTTTGCCAACAAGCAGTGGTTGCTCAGTTGGTATAGTTTGCTTATGGACTACTGGGCACAGAGTGTTCATATTCATTGGTCACCAACCTGTAATATATAAATATTTCAGTTGTGAATATCAATAAAATCCATCCAACTGTTCAGGCAGGCACCAGGTAGGGGCATGCCAAGACTCACTTCTTCATATTCAGGGTGCTGTAAATGTTGAGACTGATTTATTTCACTGTTAATGTATTTTTTCATACATTCTACAGATACAAGGAAGTGGAAAGAGGAGGAATTTATTGTGTTTCAGCAGCTTACTTTCATTGACTAAAATTCTGAATATTAAAAGAGAAGGAATTTAGGGTGTAGGGAAATATGTTGAACTTCAGGAGATATGTAGGTAGAAAAAAGTTTTCATCAACATGAGAATGATAGGCAAGTGTGGAGGGTAAAAAAGTTACTCTTTGATTATAACTGTGTGTGCAATACAAACATTCAAATGGATTGCCATTTGAATCTCCACAGGACAGAAGACCCTGAAGGTGTGAGGTAGCAAACTCCTCTGAAACGTTTTCAAAATTATATGGTGTCACTTCCCAGAAGGCAGTAATCTTAATAGTCACTGTTATAAGAATCTATAATCTCATACTCGAACCCATGCTGTCTGCTTTCTTAATGGCAGTGAATAGGTGTGTCTGGCCACTTTTATTTACCCATTGTTTTGAGAATGTCTCTGAAATATTCAATCTGACTTTATCGATGTATGAATTTTTGTACACTTCATTACGTATATTATTGTTTGTACATAATAGCACATGGGGGCATGTGATAGCGTAGTTGGCTGAGGCACTATGCTGCAAACTGGAAGGTCGTGGGTTCGAGTCCCAATGAGGTGGATATTCTTCGATCTAAACCTTCCAGCTGTACTATGGCCCTGGGGTCGACTCAGCCTCTAACAGAAGAATGGGTACCAGGAATTTTCCTGGGGGTAAAGGGTGGCCAGTGCATAAGGCTGAAAATCTTACTGCCATCCGTGAGCTGTCTAGATAATGTGGGACCCTCAATGTCTCACAAACCTATTGGCCTTCACGGCCTGGTACAGGGATAGGTTTACACAACAGCACTTCATTTACATTTGTTTTGCAGCATATAAAATCTTGGAATATTTTGTTTGTTTTAATTATTCAGCAGTCACTTGCTGTAACTTCGTTGTGGGACATTTTGTTGATATGCATAACATAACCAGAAACTGGTGTACACCCATAATGTTCATTGTGTATTCAGTTGAGTGTTGGCTTATCTGAGACTGTTCATTTCCCTTCTGAACCAATCTGCTTAATATATTCTGGCAGGTTAGGCCGCCTACTGTGATTTAAATCATCTTTCACTGTACACTTAATCATGCTCTACCAGCTGTAAAGGAGACGTGGCTTTTGGTTCTGCTCTCAAGTGTTACTTAACATTGCTGTATGTTCCTGTATCTTAATATCTATATTTTGTAAGTGTTTTGTACATGACTGTAATTGCACTACAACACTTTTCTCTGTAAATGCAGCTGGTAACTGACAACCTTCTTAAACAGGACAATTTTATGAAATTTCATACAGTAATATTGCACATTTTTAAATCTCCATCCTTGGCATCGTTGCTAACTTTTTCACAATCAGTACAAGATAAATTTTACATATTAAGAAAAACCGACACTGAAATAGTACTGTCTATTCAAGAATCAAAGTTACTAGCACTGTCACTAGCATTATTTGCAACACTGTTTGATGCCAAAAATCGATGTACACGTTCTTGATATTCCATCGTACTTTCCTCCATTGGCAAATAGGGTTCAGTATTTATTCTCTCAGACACTGTATTTATCATGTGTAACCTATTTATACCATTCTTGTTCTGTACTGAAGTCAAATGAAAACTGTTTTCAAGATGACAGTTTCGATGGTTGGAAATGATGTCAGGTTTACGAAAAATACCATCTACTTTATGAGTTCTTTTGTTGGAGATGCGTGTATCATTTGAAGATGGTGGTGGCGGGGGTGGCAATCTTTCCAACCCTTCTACAGTTCTCTCACAGTTATTAGAGCTGTTTTCGTGCGGATAACAGTTCCTCATCCCTTTCCAAGCTATGTTAGCAGACAGTAAGGACCATGCTAGCTCAAGAGCTGATGCTACTAGAATATTTATTGCCACAACAGTTCTCACTTCCCTGGTACTTCTTGGTAACTTATATTGTGGTTGTTCTTGTTTTGAACTTTGTTTTGATGATAGGAATTCTGAAAGTGTTTGGTTTGAATCATCAGAATTATGAATTATGTCTGTGACATTCTCTTCATCCCGTGTTTCATACTTTATAGAAGGTACTGTCATTATATCTTGTGTGTCATAATTACTGAAGATTTTTGGGGATATGTGCTCATCTTCAGTGAATACTCTTCTTTGATGTCCATCATTATTTTCTACTTGATCTTCTTTTTGATAATCATTTGCAGACTTCTTTGGTTGGTTAAATTGATCAGAGTTGGTGTTGGTGGGAGGGTCATGTTTGTTTAATGTTTTGTTCACTACATAATCTGTTTTGTTTGTTTTAATTTTAGAAATCCGCATAATATGTACTGACTCACCCCTTGTTTTGTTTCTGACATCTATGCTTTGTAAGCTTTCAGAGTCTGTCTTAGAGTGGTTTTGCTCTACTGTAGAATTAAGTCCATCTCCATTTCTTGCATATTCAGCATTTTTTATTCCAAGCATTGCCCCTTTCTGATTCCATACTTCGGAATCTTGGTCTGCTGAGGTGTCTGCACTAATGTTCATGGTATCATCCACTGAGAGATCTGGCTTCTGAATACTGTTTCCAGGTCCAGTTTCTGTTTGAATCTCATGGCCTCCTGACTCTTCATTCTCTGAATTGGAATGTTCTGAAGGCTTGCGATGGAATTCAGCTTGTGAGTAATCTAAAATTCTAGTGGTAGTAGTAGCTTGCTCTGGATTGTCCTTTAACTTTTGGCTAGGGTGTTGGTTGATTACAGCAAAATGATAGAAAGTATGTGGTAATTTTGAATTTTCTTCTGTATGTACACGAGTTTCTTGGAGATGGCTGTCATTCTGTTGAGACCCTTGAAGATTCAGAGAAGGTAATTCTTTTATGCTGTTGATTTCTACTGGTTGTTGCTGTTGGTGGATGAATCCTTGGTCATAGTAGATTGATCTGTAGAGTTCCTGGTTTGATCTCTGCTCCTGTATGGCTGCTAGGACAGCTGCAGTGATGACAAGGCAAAGGAGTGATGTTGTAGCAGCTACAGTGGAACAGATGAAGAACCAGCGAATGTTGTTATCCACGTACCACCTAGAAACAAATTTGATAATGTTTCACAGGAGATATGTGTAATTTTTATTGTCTGTTCCTAAAGCAAACACGAAAATATTTAAATAAAGCTATAGGCTATTTTCAGTATTTTGCATCATGATCAGGATCAGGATCATGTTCAGCAAAGAAAAATGTAACACTGAAAGCCAGAACAAAACCAGGCAAGCTTATATGGGACTAGCTTACATGAAATAAAAATACAAACTATAGTCAACCCTCATTAATCTGGATTGCAAAATGAAATGTTTACAGAGGGCCATCTGTCAGACATAACAGGTTTTTCAAACCTACATAATTATGTTCAAAAACAAATATAACTTCCAAGCCTTATATCGATGAATAAATGTATTGTCTTTTTACAGTTTTTAAATAGAAGCTCAGTAGTAATATTTTTTATTTATTTTCATAACTACTTATATCATTACATTTAATTTGTGTTCTAAGTTTTTATTTTGTCTTTTAGTGTTAGTTTTTGCTTCATTAATCTGGATTATCACTTAATTCAGACGAGCCCTACCTTTACTCTGAATTATGGAGTGTGTACTGTATTTTTGGATGCTGTAGCTGCTCTTTAGTGCTCCATGTGCTTATATTAGGTGATAGGAGTACCTGGCAAACAGCATACTACAGAATAACATATTCTATTAACTTAACACTTGGTGATGAGGCTGGCAGGCCATGTAAAACATATGGGAGAGTGATGATGTACCTGCAGAATTTTAGTTTGGAAAAACTGTTGGGAGGGGGCTTCTGTGGTGAACTTAGGCACATATTACAAGATGATGATAAGGTGGATGTTAATGAAGTGAAATATAATTGTGTAGTATGGATTCATTTGACTCAAGCTAGGGATGAGTGGCAGGCTTGACTGTCTGCATGACTATTAGCATACAGAACTCTAGTCAGGAAACTGGAATGGAAAAAAGATTGTTCAAGAGATCTACACGTGTCTCAGAGGATTAATATTAAAATTGACCTTACAGAAGAAAATTATGTGGAATGGATATGATAGGACCGTGTTTCGGGGTCATGAACACAATAGTGGACCTTTGGGTTCCATAGGAGGTCAATTTCTTGAACAACTGAGCGACTACTAGCTTCTCAAGAACAACTCTGTACCATGGAGTTCGTAATTTGCTTCAGTGTTATTGTGCTTCCGTTATGGGACAGAATATTCTTACTAAATTTCCAGAGTAATTTTTACGAGGAGAGATTGAACTGCTGTTATCTGTGTGCAGGATGGCCCCTTTATATGTGAGGGCATTTTGTTTTTACACGCAGTTATGAATTTCTGAGAATAGCAGACACTTAGGGTCCTTCACCAGGATTTCAAAAATCCTTCTGTACATTACTTGGTGCAGGTGTGTACGCACCGCCTCCAGGCCAGAATGCCAGCAGCTCCTGCTGCTGCAGCTGCCAGGCCGAGCCAGAGTCCGCCTCCGTAGCGTCCAGTCCAGCAGGAGTCTGACTGGAGTGCCAAGCCCAGGCCACCGAGCAGCAGAGAGGTGGCAGCCAGCAACAGATGAACAGCTCCAAGCCCTCCGACGGTGAGGGCCGAGTACCGCCGCTCCGATGGGTATAGACGCGCCGGGTCCGGCTCAGTCCGCACCTTCACCACGTAGATTTCCTCCATTTACTGGAACACAGGTTGCGGGTTCCACATCAAGAAGACGTGTTGTAACGTCGTGTATCTGGAGAAGTTCCAACATTTCTAAGGAACATACCACCTACATCCTAAGAGTAAATAATAATCCACGAACAAGCAGACGAGGCTGATTCTGCTGGTTTCTTGCCTGGTTTACTCTTTGATGCTGAAGATGAGGCAGTATGTCATGCTCTGAACAAGTGGCATTAGATTCCAGAAGACCTCTCTCTTTTTAGTCACCGCTGTGAGAGTCTCAGATGTAGGAAAAAATATTAATTTGAATGAAATATAATCCACAGGGTTTCATTTGTTTTGTTTCGGTGTATTTTTTTGTATCAGTGTTTACATTTCATTGCCTAATCTTGAAATTGTTTGCGACCAATATTTAAAAACAATAATTGGAAGATCATAGTAATATACAAATGATGCTCACCACTCCAACCTGCTTGACACTAGCATAAACTTAATTTGTTTTTATTGAACTTTATACTGAGAGCAAAAGTAGTAAGAAACACTGTTATATTAATCTTATGACCTACATATGACCTATACATATAATGGAGCCAGGCAAAGAAGTCTCACTGACTGTCCTCCATTCAGGCTAGATTACTGGTTCTTACGAGAAGACGTGTCCAATAGTGGGCAATTATGAACGGTTGCAACTGAAGGTAGATTTGTACAGCCTTATATAGAGCAGACATAGATGAACAAATGTGGGTGAATGATCAGCTGGGATTCCAGTCACGTTTGCAAGCTACATAACAGCGATTTGTGCTGAATTCTTGTTTTGAGAATATAAAATAATTCTATGTTGAAAATAGACCTAAGGGTCTATTACACTAATTGACAATGATGGACCCTTGTCCTCATGGCAGATGAAATATAATTGAATCTTGTCTAAATTAGTTGATCAGATTAAAATTGAATCACAGTTTATGGACTCAGATAACTTTGAATCCCTGCACTTAGGTATAATAAGACTGTATTATCTTAGATGTCTGGATATATATTTATATTTGTATTTGTGTTGGAACTAAGTATTTTATGACTCCCTCTGTGAACATGGCATAGGCATATGAAGTTTTGTATAGTATACAAAACAAATTCTTTTCTATTCTACCAAAACCAACATAATTTTCAATCCTGGTAATTTGATGTACCGTATTTACGCATGTATAGGCCGCACATTTTTTGCCAAAAATTCAAGAGGAAAACTGGGGTGCGGCTTATATTCGAAATATTCGAAATCACACTTCATTTAAAAAAAATTAAACGTTGCCAAATTTCGGAATAATTTCTACTCCTGAAATAATATTCCAAGAAAATTATTTTTTCTATAATTTCTGTCTGAAAATTGTGCTGCGGCCTATACACGCACACGGCCTATACATGCGTAAATACGGTATCTGTTATGGATACTGTGCTAGTATTACACAAATTAACTCAATGTACAAGCTATGTCATGTATAAAATTACAACATTGATAATAAAAAGTTTATGACATGTCAAATGAATGCTAATATTTTTCAATCCCTCTTGATGAATTTTATGACAGGACTGCAGGAAGAAAGGAAGAGGGCAAAGAGACATAGAATAATAGTTTTTCTTCAGTAAACATTTCCCAGGTATGAACAGCTAATGAAATCTACAAGGTTTCCTTGGAAAAAACAAACATGAAATGGTGTATTTCTGACCAAAAAGAACAGTAGTTGAGGGTTAACTGGAGGATTGAATTTGCTTTGATATGCTTTCAACTTACTGTAATGCAGTAGTTGTACCAACCAAAGCGAAAGCTCTCCTAGTGGTGGTGGTGGTGGTGGCGGTGGTAGTAATAGTAGTACATGCTGTAGTGAAATGAGAGTAGGAGCAGTAGGACTCTCAATTGTTAATTTAGTGCCATTTGAATCCTGTTTAAGGGTGATTTTCAATACTATCCTTTTTGTAGCGTCTCTATGTTCTATTCATATTTGTAAAGGCAGTCCTTCTCTCTCATGCACCACAAAGATAATTTTGACTGGGAGAAGAGCACTGTATTTTGTGGACACAGTCTTCATACTGGAGTAATGCTCCTATTGTAAATATAAATAACACATAGTTTGGTGTAATGAAAAGATTAGGGGGTGTGATAACCGATGTGACTGGTTGTTCTTATTATTGTTTTTGTTACACAGTAATGGCCAAGCAGAAGTAAAGATCTCTGTGTAACTCAGAGCAATTAGAAAGAGCTTTTGCAACTGGTGAATAAATGCTAGGAACAATGGCTTTCCTAGGAGGACATTAAGAAATCATGTGTCATATGGAGCAGTTGACGAAAATGAAGCATCTGTTGTATTGAAATTAGCAGGAAAGAGATTAATAGGCTTGCAGGATTTAGTGTACCTTTACAAAACAAAATTTTTAAAAGATGTCAGCATGGATCAGTCCTTCAAAATGGACTCACCTCCAACTAGTGCTGAGGTCAAGAAAATATGGGTCTATACATCCACTCCTCATAAGCCTTCATGCTGTAGTGCTTAATTAGTTAAGCACAGGGACAACTTTACCTTTACCTTACACATATTCACTGCCGTCTAGCGAGAAAAGTATTAAACAAGTATGTTTGAATTTCCTACAGGTGTACTGTTAGAAATAGAGTCTTGTTAATTTTGTAATGATCACATAATGGTTAGGACACATCACTAACTAGAGATTATGCACCCTAGTTCCTCCCCTGGGCAAACTCCACAGCGTTAGGCGAAGTACGCCAGCTGGCAGGCTAGGATGGTAAGAGGAGGAACATTTCCTTCTCTCTTAGCACATCATCTCCACCCCTCCCCCTAAAGTAAATGGAAAGCTATCCCTGTAACAGGTCCTGGAGGCCCATTGGCTTGTGAGATGTTGCACCAGGGTCCGCCTCAGGCTGTGGTCACATTAGAAGCGGAACGGAGCCCTGTCAACCGGTTCAGAAAAATTATTTTTATCAGTTTGACCACAACCTTCACACTCGCACAAGGAAACCGTAGCACACGCCATTAGTTCCTCGTTCTGGCCGACCGGTCCACTGAGAAGTAGATCCTCCCCCATTCTGGCCCCAGACCTGGTCAGCTTGGAGATCCTAGCCGATCCTAGCAGTGTGGTCACGATCCTTGGCAGACGAAATGTTAATTGCAACTGATCATCCGACACGACTGTGCCTGTTTCGCCTCGCTTCAGTCCGAGTGCTCATGTCCCCCAAAACATGTCGTTCTTTGCGCTGGTAATTGTGGGATGGGATGGAACTGATGAGACAGCAAATTGTACAGAATAGGATTCCCTTTTATTCATTTTTATCTTGAGTAATCAGCACATTTCTTTTTTGACTCATACAGTGGCTGAAATTCCACACACGGAGTGTACCATGTGCAACAAAATTCTGTTTAGAATACTCAGTGCGGCGAATGCTTAAAGGTTTCCTTCATTACTCGGTTCTGTCTAGCTGAGGGCTGGAGGTAAAAGGTAAAGGCAAAGTTGTCCCTGTGCTTAACTAATTAAGCACTACAGCATGAACACGTATGGGGGAGTGATGTATAGATCCACATTTTCTTGACCTCGGCACTAGCTGTAGGTGAATGGTCAGCTTCACGCCCCGGTCGCTTTACCCCCGATACCCATTGGATAGAAGGTTGGGTGGACTCCAGAGCCAGTCTGGACAACTTGGAGAAGAGAGGGCTGGAGGACCGAGTGTAATTTCCGACAGGAGCACATATTTGTCTTTTCTTCATCGTGTCCAGACCGACTGTGGGGGTGTCCCGTCACTTATCCAATTGTAACGGCTCATTAAGCCCATAATTGTTAGAAGCTATTGCATTTAAACTGCATGTTATAAGGTCTAGATAAGCAGAGATAGCGTATAGAACGTTACTGACGGCCATTATGGCTGTTGAACAGGATGCAGCCATCTGCGCGTTTCCTGGAAATTGAGTTAAGTTGGACACAGCGGCAGAGCTTTGGAAATATGATGTGACATCTCAGTTGAGCGATAAATTTTAGGGAGGAGGGCCAGCTGCAGACGCTAAGACCATTATAATTCAGCGATCTGTCCACAGGGCAGTTCGTGTCTTAAGAGTCAAAATCGTGTAGCAACTTTTATTAATTGGAAGACGCAAATTTTGGAAGCGCTAAGTTATAAACTAGACCAATAAGGTAGGTTTATGGGAGGTTCATTAGAGGGAAGCTGAGGGCTTTGAATAGCTGACTGCATGAGAGCAGGAACGTTCCCCAAGGAACTCCACCTCCGACTTCCAAAACATTGGGACCGAAAACCTGCGCGCTTCAGAAATTCTAAATTAAACTATTAGACGAGCGTTTATTCTAAATCATTACGAGATCGTGGTGTAAATTTCGACCACAAATTTAACTTAACTGCTGCGAATTGTTTAAAATTTTTAAAGTGGAACTGCAGTTGATGGCATATCAGTGTAATCCGCCGTCAGTGTTGTTTAATGCATCACAGTTCAGTGCCAATCGTTGTCAATATTGCGTGCAAGTTTGTGTATATGCTAAAAAGTTTCTTTTGCCCTTCTAAAGCAAGACCCAGGAACAGATCTCCTGTTCTTCCAGACCCAACCCCATCCCTACCGGAAGGATGGCATCGTACAGAGTTGTAGTCACCCCTCCTTGTGACTACTGGCATCCAAACAAGTCGTTCAGCCTTCCCTTACAATCAATTCAATATCTACAAAGGGGAAGGAGGCAAGGATAAAGCCAGCGTAGGTGAGTTCTACAAACACTGAAGTAGTGCGACACTGTGGCTGTAGCACAGAAGGGGCAACAGAACGCTTATAAGTGGCTTCCGACGCTGCGCCCTTCATTCGCCTTCAGAAGGCAAGGGGAAAAGAGGTGTTACACAATCAACACGAAGGACTTCCGCCAGGATCAAGCCCCTGGCGTATGAAGTCAACCTCTCCAACTAGTGCCGAAATTATGAACACACATTGTTGCATATGTGGGAGTGAGAGTACTTCTAAATTGTC